CCCCGCGTCCTTACAAGCTCGAGTGCCTCGCGACCTATACCAACTGCAAGTACAACGTGACCTGCGCATGCGACGGATGGAGAGAAATTTCTCGCAACTCGGAAAATTGTCGCAGGTTTGACTGAAAATTTTTTTTTGCTAATAATCTGGTCCACTTCTGCAATGAATTACAGTTTATGTCTTTTTTACGGATAACCGTATTTACTAGAGCACTAGTATTTACGCGCCTTCGAGGAAAACACTCACCCCAGTTTTTGTGTGTGAGAAATTCTCCCAAAAACCTATCTCCGTCGAAGACCAGCACCCCATCTTTTTTTGTGCTAAAAATTGAGAATTGTGAAACATTTTCTTGTGGGCGGACCCATTTTTTTTCTTGATATTTTGTCTTTCTTGTTTTTTCTGTCTGCTGGAGCAGCTAAGATTTGTATGCAATTTATGGCAGCTTCCTCAATTTGATGAATATCTCCCCCTATTTCTTTGCTTCCTGTTGCATCTCCAACTGATTCATTCCGAAGATTGTTATTGCTTGAACCATCATTTCCCATGGACAAGGAGACTTGGCACCACACATTTCCTCTTGATTAATTTCTTACTTTTTGCTTAGATGTATTTTCATGTGTGAGGGGCACTGGTTTTGGGTATTTTTCCTGTAAAAGTTTATCCCCGAGTACCACGTGCACCCTGTTTTTCTGCTTCGATTTCTGGAAGAGGTACGCGTGGTACTGAGTAAATGTGGTGCTTGGAGCAAAAAATTTATGATGGGATGTCTGTTTTCGAAGTTTTCATTCGGGTTCTCACTTCTCAGAGCTTCAACTGAAGATTGTTTCACCTGGGCCAATAATTTTCTTTTTTGTAGTGTTGAGTGTTTATGTTCGGAGGAGCAATTCGAAAATTGCCTTCAACAGTCCATTTTCTCCCAGCGAAGGTTAAAATTCGTATTTAGTATGATCGGTTCTTTTTCCTGCCTTTCTGAACAGGTGTCTGCATCCAAAACGAGCTCATTACGAACATCTCTCTTCGTTGACTGATGCACGATTGCAGCAACTCCTAGAATTGTATTACGATGCCGAAACGATTTTCATCAGTCTCACGAAAGAAAATGACGTCGAAACTCGGAAAATCTTTAGGTATCTCTACCAGATCTTAAAGAAGGCAGTGAACGAGAAAAGCAACGCCCAGTTGGATGTCCTCAAAGTCCTCGGCCAGCCTCCGTTCGAGAAGCCGACATTCAATGCCCTGGTTCAACAGTTTTACAATACCAAGTGCATTCATTTCCCTGCACCAGAACGATCCTCGATGATGGCCGCTGCCTCGGGGCTCATCAAGTCCATCAATTGCTGGCGAGTGGACCCTCACCTCATCCAGCCATTCATCGACAATACGACTTACATCCAATGGCTGTGCTTTTGCTATGTGCCTTTGTACTGCAGTTCTTTCAACCTGCACAGCATCGGGGATGTTTTCGGAACTCGGTTCTTCACTGGTGTGCTTCCGTTTTTTCGTTCCAAATTGGACGAGTATGTTCGCAGTCGCAGTGGCCCGTTGCCGAAGCAAAGCCAGTTTGTACTCGAAGGGTTTCCGAAGTTCATGGATCTGTTTGAAAAGGATTTGAAGCTTGCGGAATCGTCGTTCTGGCAAGGAGGTCCAGCAGCACCGCTGATTGAAAGCTACTCATCTGGTAAATGAACATCCCTTTTTATGTTACTTTCTCTCTCTTCTACTGAATAAGAAGGAATAAAACGGTTCTGCAACTGAAAGCTGCAACGAGAAATTCTTTGCCTTATAACAACGGTTACCAACTTGCTGCTCTAAAATTTATTTCGTTTGAACTGCGACAAAAAATTGAAGACCTCGTTAAATTTGGCGATGGTTAGATTTTACTCTTCTGGTAATTGGACCGTCCTTTTTCTGTTGCTCTCTCTCTCTCTCCCTCTCTCTATATATGACTGGGTAAGAAGGAATAAAACTGTTCTGCAACTGGAAGCACGTGCGATGAGAAATTCCTTGCTGTAAAATTTATGTCGTTCGAACTGCGACGAAAAATGAAGGACCTCGTTAAAGTTGGCGATGATATTTTTTTATTCAATTGTTTCTTTCCCTTTCAAATGGACAATTACTTGGGTTGTTCTCAGATTTTTTTTATCAAGCACAATTCAGTTCAGAAATTTTACGGTCCTGTTTTGTACCAATGTATTTGAACTGCTTACTACTGTTCATTTTTGTATGACGCAGAACCCCCGAGTGCCGAAATCGTTGCCAGTGAAGAGAAGGAACCTCCGTCGGTACCAGAAATTCAGCAAGCGTTGGTGAAAGAAGAAATGGAACAATCTGACGAGTTCGCGGAAGAGGACATACGTCCGTATGCTGTCGTCATGACCCCTGAGGGGATCGAGAAACTAGTTCAAGATGCCTGGGACATTGAACAAAAGGTTCAAGGCAACGTCGAAGTCCAATACCAACTCATTCATGTTCCCGACGACTGTGTTTCGTTACCGGAGATGCAGAAAGTTCTTCTCCGTCAGCTGGTGGACATTTTTTCGGCCCAGTTACCCAACCTGCCCCAAGAATTCATCGTTCGGACATTGTTCGACTATAGGCAACAAACGCTTACACTTGTGAAGAATAATGCTGCGCAAGGTGGAATCACGTGCAGGATGTTCCCGAAATTCGCGGAGATTTCACTTTTGGCTGTGTCCCCGGATTCCCAGGGAAACGGATTCGGGGGTTCGCTTGTGTCGCAGTGTAAAGATGTGTTCAATGAATTTGGTTTGATGTATGTGTTCGTGAGCTGTGACGAGTATTCCGCGGGATTTTTCAAACTGCACGGTTTTAGTGACGATCTCTCTGGAATCCCGAAGGACTTGTACACTGGCTACGTGATGGAGTACGAAGGAGGCACGTTGATGGCGTGTCACCTTGATCCGCAAATGGTACGTATTACAGACTGTGCGAGTTGTTTTGTGGCGTGGATTGGGTCAAAAGCTTCGGTAATTTCCCATTTTCTTCCTTGGCTGCATTTCTGAGATTTACGTCGCACTAAAGGAAAAATATTGATGGGGAGTTTTTCCCGCCCTTCGTATCAGCGTTAGTCTGCTGAAATTGAAATGGAGTGGCGATCCATGAGGTTTATTTATTCCACTTGAATATTTGCCGAATTTCCAGGTAATTAAGTGCTTTCGAATATTTCAAATGAGTGAAAAGTCTTTTGGGTCAACAGCGACGTTTCTGATACATAAATACTTTTGATGGAATAATGCTGATGACTTCTTTCCGTTCTTCGTATTAATGTTAGTCTGCCTAAATTGAAATGGAGCAGAGATCTTTGAGGTCTATTCGCGTCACTTGCGTGATTCCCGAATTTCCAGGTATTAAAAGGCTACGTAATATCTCAAATGAGTAAAAAGTATTTTCCCGGTCAATACTTGAATCTGATCTTATGTACCATCAGCGAACCTTTCCTGATCTTGAAGATTTTCATGTTCATACTACTACTGGATTTGAAGGTTGCGATAAAATGTGAATTATTGAGCGAGGATTTGCCGAGTTGAGAACTAAAATTGAAGAGAATCCTTGCGAATAAAGGGATAGATTGCTTCAAGTCTTCGTCTTGGACGCGTAATGACTTGGAGAATCCTCCTTAGGACTTTGGATGCCCAATGAACTTCCCGGAAGAGTTCAAAAAATCTTCCTGATTGTTTTATTTTTTGGAAATCGTTCCCATTGAAGTCAGATTTAGAAGACTTCGTGCAGCAGTACGTCGAAAATTATTTCTGTGGGCAAAACCAAAAAGCCTTGTCGAATCATTGCGCGATGCTGATGTCACTTTTGAACCAATCTTTGTTCTAATTATCTGATGTGAAGGTGTCAGTCACTTGAATATGACTCGTTGGCTATTGCTTTTCGCATTTCCAGCTGTATTCGGAAATGAAGAACGTATTGCGGCTGCAGATGACCGCATTGAAGCAGCTGTGGCTGAAGCGAAACAAGGAATTGGATGTTGTAGAAATTGACGGATCTTCGCTGTTCACTTCAACCGGAGTCATTTTGAACACGAGCTCGATTCCTGGACTGAGGAAAGTCGGTTACAATCCCATTGCAGAACGCTGTGTGACCGAGCGGGAATTGTTTGGACCAGACAGTGACGATGATGGGTCGGGACCTTCGAAACCTAAGATCATGAAGCTCAAGTTGCAGCGAGGCAGGAGAACTAAGATGGAGACCAAGAATGACCGAGAAGCCAAGTTCACGCAGCGCTATTCCTGGGAGAAAGATTTCGACACTGTGAGTACTCTGCTTTCATCTCAGTCTTATAATAAAAAAAAAATCAGCTGTTATGATCACTCAAGTACCACGCGTACCATTTTTTCTCAAAGTTCAGATGAGTAAAAATGGACGCGCGTCATGCATGGGTCTACATTTTCAAAACATTTTCCAAGTTTAGGTGTATGCAGTCGAACCTCTTTGGTGTTTAAGTCGTTCAGGTGATCAAGTCGGATTTCAAGGGATCAACTACAAAATTCGAATTAGGGAGGTTTCGAGTAATGGAGACAAGCTTTTTTTTCTGGGGGTAAATATAAGATTTACAGGAAATTGAACTTGGTAATATTCTGGGCCTTAAATATATTCTTAATGAGTTGACAAGATACTGAACTTGGAGGCAAGGGTTCGTTTGCCTAATTAATCCTTCACTTCCTTTCAAATCGCATCAAGTTACGTGTTTTATTGCTTTTATTTTTCCTGCGTTCATGAAATGATATCCTAAATATCTCCTGGAAAATTCGAGCTATGCAGATTTGAAAGGAAAAGCTTTCGATTTAGAGAGCTTTTTCCATGCCTTGTTTTCAAGGAATTTCGGAGAGAGGGACTTGAAAAAATATCCGCTTTAGGGATGTTCGAGTCATCAAGGTTCATATGTACTGTACTCGATTTTCATGGGAAATTTTGGGCCAGTTTTAACGGGAAGACGTATTCTAGTGGAAAAAATTAAAAAATGGTTGGTATTTAGGTTCAATTCATGTCTAAATTCGAATTCCAATTTTTTCAGTTTTTATATAATGAAGTCTTGGAGTTACTAAACGCGGGGTGTTCGTCATTTTCGGGGATACAACTTCATAAAAATTTTAGACTGAGAAACACTGGTGTGCATCTGGCTTAAGGGCGTGTGGTACTCGAATAATTCTGACCGATTGCCTTGGTTAAAACCAATTACCTTCTCAGCACCATGTGTGATTTCCAATCTGTAATATGCGATATTCACCAAAGGAATTCCGTGAGATGTTCCGAAAATGTCATTTCGCCGAAGGAATCTGTTGCTTGCTCGCCCAGAAAGCGTGTTTGAATCGCTGAGAATATTTTCGGTAGTTTGTGTGAAGCTGGGGGAAAGCCAAATCTTATCCAGCTTTGAACGTCTTTAATCTTTCAATCTGAAGCAGTTTCTGAAGTCGGAATTCCGCGATTTTCTCAGCTGCTACGTGGACATCACGTGATTGATTTTAGCTGGACGTAATGCCGTTTAGGTTACTTGAAACGTCATGAAAGTTTATGTAGTTCAGTTTCAATTGAGTTATTTCTAGTCTGTCCTGACTCTTCAAGCTAGTGCTTGGGATTTGTTGCCACAACGTCGCCTGTCCGAAATTTTCTAAAGCAAAGTCGCGCATGTTGAGAAAAACAAAAAGAAGCCTTGAAATGCATTCAAGACGAATAATTTTTGCGTATGTGCGATCGATCGTCTGTTCTTTTTTTTTAAGGACACCTTGCATGGGATTCTCAAGAACGTCCTGAACCAAGTGAAAGCCCATTCCGCAGCTTGGCCTTTCCTGAAGCCAGTGGATAGGTTTGATGTTCCTGATTACTACGAAGTAATCGAACACCCGATGGACTTGAAAACTATGACGGATAGATTAAAACGCGGTTATTACTCCCACAAGAACTTGTTCCTCATTGACATGAGGAGAATGCTACGGAATTGCCGCAAGTACAACAACCCGGAAACCGAGTATTGCTTGTGCGCAGATGCCCTGCAGCGATTTTATATCAGCAAAATGCAAGAATACGGAATTGATGTTGTTATTTGAACTGAATTTGCAGCTTTTGAAATGAACGAATTTGTTTTGCAGCTATATGAGCGACGGATTTTGATTTTTTTGGTTCAGTTCAATCAATTGATGAGTTGAGGTCTATTTTATTGATGTGAGGTCAGGTCTTGGCGAATGAGTCAACATATTTTGTATGGTCGTTATAACCCGTTTGAGTCAGTGTCTTGATGCATGTCGATTAGAATTGGAGATTACTTCTTACACTGTTGAAGGACAGTATAAGAGGAATAAAGACGTACCAGGTTCAACTTAAAAAGTCAGGTTTTTTTGGCTCATCCGGTGGGTTTGATCGGGAATCGGTTAAGTTCCCTTGCTGAGGGCGTCCATTTTCTTTTGTATCCACGCTACATAACTGAAAAGTAAATTTCTTCCATTAGTTTTTCGAAAATAATGAATTTTTTCATGTAAATTATACAAGGGGTCTAGCAAAAGTTATTGGGAATAGAAATTGAAGCAGCATGTGATAGAACTGTAACACAATTACATTAAAAGCTCTTTAATTCAAATTTCAAGCAACCAGCAAAAAAATTTGACTTAATAAGGATGCTTTGATTAACAGAGGTTTTGAGTTTGAGAGGTTTCAAGTTTGGGAAATGAGCATTTGTGTTGTGGGAAACAAAGAAGAATTGCTGGAAATTGTTAGTGGTGAAATTCTGGGCCTTCAATTGGTACTTGATGAGTTGACAGGATGCTGAACTGGCATGGAGTTTATTTGCCAAATGATTCTTCCAATTCCTTTCAAAACACATCAGCAGTTGCTTTTCTCTTTCCTGTGTCAAGAAAATAATACCTAAGGGCTTAGTATATTCGAGTTACAAAGGTTTGAGAGGAAAAGTCAATGAGTTTTAGAGATTCTTAATCCATTGTTTCTAAAGGAATTTAGATGAGGACTTGAAAAATTTGACATTGGGAGGTTCAACTGTATTGTTCAGATAATATTCAATTTCAAGAATTCTGAAGGGAAAGGTGGGACACGCAAAAAAATGCAATCTGGGTGCCTCATCTTTTGAGTGGAAATCAGAAAGCTGCCTGGGCAGCCATTGAAGAAATTGTGGAATGATAACTGAATATTTCTTTTCTTTTGCAAAAAATATTTCTTCTGAACAATAATTGCATTTCAACGCGATTGTAAGCCATTTCGATTTTTTACTCCAAGAACATTTTTTAGACCCTCAGTAAATACATGTAAACTCACTGAGCCACTTTGGTGAACAAAACCGGAGTTTTGATGTCCCCTTGAGCAGAACAGTCTTTCTCATTCAGCTGCAAACTGACCAGACCTTGAACTGTCATCAATCCCTTTGGATTGGGCATGATGAACGGAGAACCGGAATCACCTTTGCATACTGTTTGAAAAGGTCCTATCAAAGACAGAATCTTGCATGAAATAGTGAAAAATCTTCTTGCATAAACCATGGTTTAAAACTAAGCCCTTACTGAGCAAAAAATTAAGAATCCTTTTGTTGTACTCAACTGTCATCTTTGTTACCAAAGATGTGAACATTACCCCAATTTTTTCCAGGTTGAGATTGAAGTGGTATGGTTCATTCAAAAGTCATTGGCATCGATTTGGTCTGAAATATGATGGGCTTTTTAGAACGGGTGCGAGTCACATGATCATTTTAGTCCAAAGAAAGCTGGCTTTGGAGGAAATTATCAAGTGTATGATCATATGAGCTAAATATTGAAGGCTTATTCTCGACAATATTTCAGGGACTCTATCAGAAACTCCCGAATATTAAAAAATAAAAATTTGTTCCCAATATTAAAAAAAAAAATATGAATGTTAACTCGTTAGCAACAAAGTCGTCCGTGTCGTGTCCAGTAAAAAACGCATTTGAAAAAACGTTGTGGTTTTTCTGAGGGATCTTGCGAATTACTCGTTTTAAACACGTAGTCGCCCACGGTTTTCTATGCGACAAGATTGTATACCTGAACACAGTAATTGAATTGAACATTGAGAAGGCGTGCTTTAATTTTGTGTTAGCTTAGTTTCGACAGTTTGCTCAAAATGTAATAAAGGGAAAAATCAAATACTGTACTGCGGTTATATGTTCTAACCCGCTAGCTCGTCGGACTGTGCGCAAAAGATGCCTCTGGTTTGCGAGATTCCCCGCTCACTCAGCAAAGACACACACTCTCTTTGGTTGACCGCTGTCAGCACGGCTTCTTTCAGAATTTTGCTCTCACTGTCAGTTTCAGTGTCACCCCAGCCAGCGACCTGAAAATGATTAATCCGAAATTTTTAGACAGTTTCGGAGCATTCGTAACACGGATTCTGGGAATAACGCATCCGAAACGAAACCCAAATACTGTACTGTATATGGAATATCCAGAGAGACGATCCATTAGTTGTGATTAATAGCTATTATAGGGTTAATTAACAGGTAAGCACTCCCTGCTTGGGCGATTGACATCATGTAACGAAATATTTCGAACTTTTCATTATGAATCCAGCTTTTTTAGAAGAAGAAAAATACAACTCACTCTGCCTGAAAAAGTATAAGTGAATGTGTCATAGGACACTCTCCACAACAAAATCCAAGAGACCAAAAAAATTCGTTTCAGAGAGAATTTCGTTGCAGAGATGAGAGTCCAACGAAATTCAAGAGATCAGACAAAATTCATTGTAGAGAGAATTTCGTTGCAGAGAAAGTCCAACAAAATTCAAGAGACCAGAAAATATTCCTTGTAGAGAGAATTTCGTCGTGAAGAGAGTCCATCGCCTGTGTTCGACATATTCACTTGTATTGTACTTTTTCAGGCAGATTGGGCTGTATTTTTCTCTACTCTCTACAACAAATTTCTTCTGGTCTCTTGAATTTCGTTGTACAGTATAGACAACACATATAACGTGGGGAGAGAACCCCATGAGAAAAAAATCGCTGTCCAGAGACAATCGATGTGGACAAGATCGTTGTGAAGAAAATCCACCTGTATGATTAAAAAAAACTGAAAACAGGTGAACACTCTCTATACAAGCTACAACAGTCTTGTCTACAGCGATTTCATCCGTATAATTAATTCATTTTTGTTCACATATGGGGTTCCCGCCAATGTGGGGGGTTCTCTGCAACCAAATTTTCTCAACAATCAACATTCTTCTGGTCCCACATGAATTTCGTTATAGAGGGAGAGAGAGTGTCCATCACCCGTGCTATGGAAGGATTCACGTGCAGCGAATTTATCAAGAACTGTATACTGAACTGGCTCTGCAACAATTTGGTGTATAATGATTATGTATGCCATATTTTTTGGTCACATAAGGCTTCTCTACAACGAATCTTTCCCAATCTCCTGAATTTTTTTTTAGAGAGTGCGCCTGATTCATGTTCATGCATGTTTTTTTTTTAATTGACAGAAATTATATTTCGCAGGACCGAAACGTTCGTGAACAAGACAATAAACTACACTAAATCTGCGTTCTATATGTGGCAGGAAGTTTTTCCTCGCGCTCGGAAAAATCTCGGCTTCTCTACTCCGATTTGTTCTCAAAATTTTTATGGACCATGGTTAAACAATATTGTACCAAGTTAATGAAGGGATTATTTATATATTATACATCTCCTCTGCCGAGGATTGCTGGATGACGCGGATCTTCCTGTTCTGGCAGGCAAATCAAAGCAGTCCTCCGGAACTCTATCCCAAGGATGAATGGCTCCTCAGGTTCTGCTAAAGCTATGTCATTGAGATAATTCCCGGTTCTTGAGTTGTAGTCCTCATGCACCACAATTGATTTCACCTGAAAAGACAGACACAATTTTGAGTCATTTTCTTTTATTGAAGGTCTTGGGTCACAAATTGTTCAACAAAAAATGCAGAGAAAAAAATTGATAGATACACTATAAAGGAAAAAAAAAAATTCGATGATGCTCCTTCAAATAATGCTAGAAACAAAATAAGGCAGCACGGTAAGTGGACCTGTGGTCAACATCTTGTTTTTTTTCAAAAACTTTATATTGCTCTGTTCCAAAAATCCTGTACTATAATTGAAAAACCAAAATTTGGTAACTGAAATACTGGGGGTTATAATGTGACTGCAAATATTTATTTTTACATTGTAGTGCAAATGTCTGCCTTGGTATTGGGTCATCCGCCAGTTGGTCAATTGACGGTCGCGCACCCACTGGTCGTCAAGCGCCGGTCGGTCTAACCGCCAGCCAGGGCAGTCCTTGGCCTCGCCAATCCCCAGGCCACCAAACCTCGGTCTGGTCACCCGATTGTCGGGGCACCCAAACAATTGGGTGACAAGAATCATGCTGATTCTTTCTAGAATTTGGTGAGCAGAATGGTATCCTACCACAGATTAATTTTTTAAAACAAAATTTCATCTTATAAAAATTTTCACAAAAATAAAAAACTCATCAAACCCAACCTAACTTAACCTAACCTAACCTAAACTAACATAACATAAACTGACCTAACCTAACCTAACCTAACATTGCTGAAATTTGAAAACAAAATCTGTGGTAGGATAACATTCTGCTCACTGAATTCTGAAAAAAAAATCAGCATGATTCTTGTCACCCGATTGTTCGGGTGCTCTGACAATCGGGTGACCAAACCGCAGTTTGGTGGGCTGGGGATTGGCGAGGCCAAGAACTGCCCTGGCTGGCGGTTGGACCAACCGGCGCTTGACGACTGGCGGGTGCGCGACCATGAATTGACTGACCGGCGGCTGACCGGACACGGTCTGCCTCATAGCATCAGAATATGATTTACCATGTGTTTTTGAAATTTCACTGTAAATTTGCTCCTCATGATCCTTTTGTTTGTTCTATTGTGTACAATATTTTCTTGCTCTTCTGCGCTTTGTACTAATTGTGTACTGTGGATCTGTGTTTGGAACTGTGTCCCTGAGTCACCCAGATATATTGCTTATTATGAAACTGTTCCAGTTTTGCAAAATTGTCTCTATAATTTTAAGAATGTCAAATAGCCTCTGTCCAAAAAATGTGGGAAATAAATTAATGAAGCTCACTCTATCAGATAATTAGGAATCATACATTTTTTTTTAAAATTCCACTTGCTCTTTGGATCCAATACGAAAAAATTATTTTTTCAATATTGGATTCATTATTGAAAAAATTGAATTTGATTCACAAACTCTCGTCTGGACCAATTATCCTGCTGATTATCAAAACCAAGAAGGGTTGACTGTATTTTTATATGAGTGACAGGTCGCAGATATCTTCAGTGCATATACAGTATATACTGTACTATATAGTGCAATACAGTAAATTGCATGTTAATACTGTATACAGTATATTCAAGTTTTGCACTCTCCGAGTCTCCGTGTAGAAGTTTGTTTAAAAATAACCGTTGTTATCATTATTTCTGCACTGAAAAGATTGCACATTTTTGTGAATAAAAACCTCCTCAAATCAAGTTGGTCATACATAAGTGAGGGTTGATGACCGTGTATATATACATAAAGACCTTATTGACAGCACCTGTCGATCCTGGACAAAGGCGTTGTGTTGGGGACTCGTTGGGATTCGCTCAGAGTTCCCGGAGGCCACCCTGTACCTAGCCGGGTCCTGCGATTCATCGAAGCAATGAGCCGCAGTTAGAACCCAGTTGGTGCTAATTAATGCCCCGCCGCAATTAACTTTGCTGGTCGGGGACCGCGCAGGCCGATAAAGAATAGTTATCATCCAGGGCCAGGAGTCCGTGTTGGTCAGAGTCCCATTGAAGATCCTGGTCGAGGTCGGCAGAATGCCACATTCTGCAAAGAAGCATCATCAATGAGAAATGCATAAAAAATATATATTTCATGTATATACAGTGTGTGGGCCAATATTTTTGACTGAAAAACAAACTGTACAGTACTGTGAACGGAAAATGCATTTCACAAGTCACAACAGACTCCCGCTGCTGCCGCCAATTTCGTATGTTCGTATCAGCGGATGCATCGTTAGCCTCGGATAACGGACTATACACACGTCACCAATGTTCATCATCAAAATACAGTTGAAACTTATTATGGCGGGAAATCTGGCATATTCCAGCTTAATTTTAAGGGATCTGTACTTGGTAAAACGTTTTCATGCTCCTGATGCTGTGGAAAAAATTGTTTTCTTCATTCTTCCAGGGTATTTCTGCAATTATTCAGCGCGGAAGTACAGTATTTGAAGCAAGTCAAGCAACTACGTTCAACAAATTTTATATGCCCCAGAGTCCTAAAATGAAATAAAATTTGTTTTTTTTAAACACCAGTCCCAGGGATGCTTAAAATCTAGCTGAATAATCTGAAAAAAAATTACAAATTTCAATTACGTGGCACCGTAATTCCTGCAGGACATTCATCAGTTGAAATTTTAAAAGAATGAATGATACATTTTCAAAAAAATGGCAAAGAAGCACTGGAATGCTGTTAAAATCTCATTAAGCGTGTCACAAGTCATGAAAAAGGGTTTTCTGTGTTTTTAAAAATTGTCCTTCTTTTAATTATCAAAATTTATAAAGTTTCTCGCGATTTCTCCTTCTGCATAAATTAGAAATGAATATTTTCTGCCCTTGGGTTAAATAGCTACAATGTTTCAAAAAATGGCAAAGAAGCACTGGGATGCTGTTGACATTTCATTAAACATGTCACAAGTCATGAAAATTGGTTTCGTTTATTTCAATATTATTCTTCTTACAACTCTCAAAATTTATAAAATTCCTTGCGATTTCTCTTCCTGCATCAATTCTAAATCAATATTTTCTGCCTGAACTGGGTTTGAAATATTAACTATATTAAAAGAAAACCTCACATTACTTCATTAAGAACTTTTGATTTCGTTCCACTGGGGAAAAAATTAATGCTAATTAAATACGGTAAATAGTAAATCAATGAGTGCATGTACAAACTAACCTTCTTCAGTCACTTCGAATTTCGCCGGACTCAGTTTCGCAACTAGAGTTCTCGCGACAGAATTAGTCGTGAGCGTCACTACAGCCGAACTCTCCTCGCAAATCTTCGTTGGCATTGTCCAGTGACCCACCAATCTTATATAAAAGGATGAAACACTCTTTCTAAAATGTTTTTCCAATACAGTGAGACCCTGCACATGATGCAGACACCTCGACATGCAGACAATTCAACATAGGGACATTTATTTTTTTCAATAAAAAAGCATGAAAACGTCCTGACATATGTACACTGACTTGACATGCAGACATTGCATGATGAAATTGCCAATAAATTTCAAGGAAATTGACTTTTATTTGACTTAATTGCAAGAAACAGATATTTCCAACCCTAAGGTTCATGCAATAAATTTCTTTTTTGGCATTTCTCCCATCCATTCAGCTAATTTGGAAAAAATTACCTATAGCACAGAGGGACTTCCTTCTCTATGCGTGACTGGAATACTATTTTTACAGATGCCAAAATTTTAATGTACTACACAGAGGTACACTATTTAACCCTTGGATAGCGGCAGCCTCCTTTCCATCCCAGGGCAAAGTCAGACTTTTTCCCATGGGCCTGCATTATATTTTTGCACAAGGTTATACAACCCCTGCCAAGTGGGGGAGGGCAAAGTCAGATTTTATCCAGGGATAAAGAAATGCTGGGAAAGTCCTGAGTTGGATGACTTTTTCTGTATTGACCTCTAACCTGGGCTCCTGGCTTTCAGGCTTAAATTTAATCTTTGAATGGGGAAACAACAAAAGGCCAGGGGAAAAAAAGGGAGCTTTGAAGTTTCCTTTTTTCATTTTCAGGTGAAATTTTTCTGTGGAAAATTTTAAAAATGCCAGGATTTTTCCCAACTTTGCCCTGCACACACTGTTGGGGGTTTTTTTTTTTTGAAATTCCACTCTTGAGTGCAACCAAAGTCTCAAGTCTGACTTTGCCTCAGAAGGGTTAATGCTCCAAATTTTCTTTTTGAGTTGAAAAGATATTCACTGAATCAAATTCAAGTGGCAAACCTTTTTCCCCCATTAAATTCTGAAGAATATTTATTCCATGAAACACCAATTGAAATTTATATAATGTAAGTCTATGGGAAAACAAGACTTGACTTGGGGAAATTTAAACTTGTGGACACTCTTGATGCACCAATTATGTCCACATCTGGGGGTTTCACTGTTCCTTCCTTCATTCATCGGCTTACCGGGATATTCCATCGGCGAATTCGCAGAGAATTGGCGAACCCGGGAGTCTGGGGCAAACCGCAGCCGAGAAGCTGGTTGGCAAACACAATTGATGCGACCCGAGCTCGAAGGGTAAGTTGTTGTAGCAGAAAACGTCTTTGGATAAATCCGTCAGAGACGAAACTGCAAATTTTGAATGAATAGAAATGAGAATTTTGAAAAGTAATAAATCGGTTTTATTACTAGTATTACTAGTAATAATCGGTTTTAGTTTTCATTGTTCTGTTGGTGTGTGGTTTTCCTTAGTGAGAAGTGACTTCGCTTTGAGGGTTGGTTTTCTTACCAGTTACTAGTTTTAGTGGGTTTAATAATTTTAACTTTATTTGGTGCCTTTTGTGGTTTCCCAACACATCATGACTGACCTTTGTCCTGGTCATAAAGACGGCATTTGAAATCCGTCAAGCAATCCGGCAAAAAGTCAAACGCAGCTGCACACACCAAACAAGCTCCAGTCTTGGCAAAATCCACCTCATTTTCCAGTTCCAGAAAAACTAAATTCAGTTGACGATCCGGTTCTGATGATCCTCCGTCGAAATTCGTCTCAATGACATTTTTCACGCCAGAAAATGACTTGTTGATGCCGACGCGGACGTAAAATGCCTCCGTGTTAGACCTGTTTGATTTGAATAAAAAAAAATTGTTCCGTTTCAAAATATTTCCTTCAATTGAGAAAATGATGAGCTCGGTTGGATTTGACTGTTGAAAAAATTAAAAACCTTGAACAGCTCACAATAAACCCAGAGTAGTGGCGGAAGTTGAGACCACATTCGGTCGGATTAATGCTCCATTCCCCAGTTTCCGCTTTTCTCGTTTGTAAAATACTTCTACAATCCAACATTTCTCTTCTGGATTTAAAGAACTGTTCTCTGGACAGGCGAACAAGTTTGTCCCTAGAGAAAATAAAACATCTATTGAATTTGAGTCGATTTCAAAGCCACATTATTAGTCCACGCGCGAATTCATCATAAATTTGAAAATTTCGAGAAAAACTCATCATAAATGTAAAAATACCAACTGAAAACTTCACCGTAAATTTAAATATATGAATAAAAAATTCAACATAAACTTGAAAATATTAATTGCAAATATTCATCATAGACTTGAAAGTACTGTATAAATTAAAAAATCCATCACAAATTGAAAAATATCAATTCAAAAAATCGTCGCGAATTTAGAAATATTAATTGAGAAATCCATCATAAATTTGAAATTATCAACTGAAAATTTCATTCTTACACAAAAAATATACATAAAAAAATTCACCCTCAACTTTAAAATGTCAATTGGAAAATTCATCATAAACTTAAAAATGTCAATTAAAAAATTCATCATAAATGTTAAAAATCAATAAAAAGATATCATAATTTGAAAAATATGAATCAAAAATGCATCATAAATGTAAAAAATATTGATTGAGAAGTTCATCATATATTGAAAAATATTACTGTAATTGAGAAATTCAGCATACATTTGAAAAATATTTCATGAGTTTAAAAATATCAATTGAAAAATTCATCACAAATTCAGTGATATTAAATAAATTCTCAAACCTTCATTTTCTATTTTCTTCAACTGCTGAAGTTCGTTGACTTTCGAGTACTGCTTCAGGCATTCTTCCACTTCCAGCTTGACTTTGATTTCTCCCTCAGAAAGTTGTTGATTTTGAATCTTTTGAGTGGAATCCGGTTTCTGACTGACGCTTTCTACAGGAATTTGGCTAAGAGGTGAGCAGCAAAACTGGCCATCCGGACATCCGGTTTCTGTGATGGGCTTCAACGCATCACAAGTGCTTTCAGCGACATCTGCCGGGATGCAGCTCAAAGGCAGGTTGCAGTCCGCTGATGACCCACCTGCTTGACTGGCTACTGATGGGTTATTTTTTGAAGTTTGAGGCAGTTTTGGCTGGATTATTTCAACAATCGTTCTGTAAGAAATACACATGAAGACTAACCCAACATGTTGCAGTCTATAACTCCGTCCACTATACAAGCAGTATTAGTATTGTAATTCCAAATACGGATGAAATCAATGTTCCAAAACAACTTCTGAACATTCTAAACAATTTTAAACATTTTTTAAAGATGGGAACACTAAACAACAAATTCATTTCTTAAATCAAAGATGACGCTTATTAAAAATTCAGCTTTCTTTCTGGCCTTATCAGAATACTAGCAAGCAAAAAAGAATAATTTTTTAAAATAAAGGAATCAAGCAAAAATATTTGTTAGCGAAAATTGGACTGCAGTTGAACCTCAAGCAACAATAATACCGATTCCCATGTCAACTATATACAGTATATCGAAATCAATAAACACATAACTAAATAAATAAGCAAATAAATCACTAAATCACACTGCATATATATACGAGCATATCTAGGGAAGAAAGGGAGAAACCACCAAAAATTAAATTCCATCTTGAAAATTCGTTATTATGAAATTTCATCGCATTATTTTTATGGGTTTTGTGTTTGTCAGAACATTTGAAACATTTTATCTTGTTGAATAAATCATTGCAATATAATTCCATGAAACTATTAATTATATATGCTGTATTTGACTCCCAAAAAGAATGAAGATTATGTTATATTTATACATATGTACTTGATTAAAAGCAATCACATTTCTTATTTCGTTGTATAGGTCAACATGGAAAAACTAAAAATATCTGTAGTCCAACCAAGAATACTATAGAAATAAAACTTTTGAAAATCTTTGCAACTGGTTTCAACAATTGCTTTTTAGGGTTTATAAATTTCAATCTTCTGAACGCGCCTTTTTGAAATCGTCTCGACCAACATTCGTTTCACTCCTTGTGGTTTCAAGTATTTTGGCTCCATGGAATTATATGAAGCATTGCACTCACTTTGCTATCGTCATAAATACAGAAATGCTGTACTTTTTTCTACTTCACACATATTTTCGAATAGAAAAAATGGGGTTTAGTTTTATTTGATAGCCAGCAAACAAGTTCAGATTGCTCTGGAACTGGGGAAGCATTGAAAATTCAAACGTATTAAGGCTGCAGAAAAAAAATTCTGGATGCAAATCCAATTCTCTCCACATTCCCAAGATTCATCAGCTTACTTCCAAGTCAAAGACAATAATCTCCAAAA